GGACATTGTTGTTGGAGGTTTTGATTGCAATATGTCAACAACTATTGGATGGATAGAAGGGCTGACCTGAATGCTTCGATGCTTAGATTGTTGCCATGGTAACTGACGTCCAAATCAGTGTTCGAATGCTCCATTTTTTCTGTACCGTTAACCCAAAAATCCCAAATAACCCAACAGTTGACATAATTCATTATGCATCAACATTAATTGTTTGCTATTCTCAGATAAGGACTTTTCACCACCTGTCACAGGCTTGCAGATATGCTAGCAATGGTCGAAAAAGTGAAGTGTCTGGAATAGTTTAAGTATTTACAAAAATGACCCCCAGGAAGTGCCAGGTGTGCCAACAGAAACTGGCATATCACAAATCTACAGCAAGCTTTGTAAAGCACCTGGAAACTGTTAGTAACGCCTCAGCTGTCCTGCAGAGTGTTCTTTTTCTAGCTATAATGGCTGATGTTACTGTGACCTGCGTGCTAACAAAGTGGCTAATAGTCACATTATTTGAGATGCATCGCTCAAATGTTGTTTTAGAACTTGAATGTCAACGTTCTGAATGAGGCTTCGAACTATTCGATACAGCTCTACTCAAATGTCAACACTGAGTCACAGCATGACTCAACAGCTGCTCAGACTCGGCGTCCAAACCCCACATTTTTAGCTTTGGAAAGAGTTTGTCAAAGTTAATTGTGTGTGGTGGGAGTGTTTCATGCTTCGGTCCTATTCATGATACTTCTGTATGTTTAACACTGATTGTCAGTTTTGTGCCTTTTTTTTCTTTTATAGTGTAAAATGTCTCCATACAGCTGACTTTTTAAAAACATTTTACTTCTTCTCTTAAAACATCAAATCCGGTCTTAACTCCAGTTTTTCCTATCTGTTTTTGGCTCGTATCAAACCAACAGCCAAACGTCTTACTAATAGTGTGTCAGTGCATCCCCAACCTAAAGTAAACTGTGTTTAGTCCTCTGAGTGCAAACAGATGATCAACAGCCGTAGTTTAAAGGAAAGTTTGACCTCAAGACAAACTGTCTCTCTATAATAATTTGTCTCCAGTTACATACTTAAGAGCACCAGATCCCTTTTCATTAGATTTGTCCTTTTCCAGGAAATGCACTTTGTGTACTCTGATGATGAATAAAAAAGCCAATTTTAGATCAAAACTTAAAGATTTCTGCTCTATAATCACATTTCATTTTATATTTGCAAAATTCTGACATGACTTTTCACAAACTGCTGATGGAACCTGAACCAGCACGCTGGCATGAAGCCTTAGGTCCAGAGTCACATTCTCTGCTGATTGATCGTCTGTTTAATGCGGCTAGAGTTCGGATAGTGTTTGAGCCCTGGCTCGCTCATCACTCAGCCGCAGACACTCAGCCATTTCCTCTCAACAGTAAACTCTACTTTATGGATGAGGTTCGATGTTCTCAGCCCATAGAAATGTTCTCTCTCCATGGCTCAGCCTGTGTAACTGTTCAACAGTGTGAGGCTGCAGTTTGTGGTGCAGTTGTTCTGGATTATACCGCCATTTACACATATGTTGCTGTAGCGCCACATATAGATAAAGTGCCATAGAGTTGATTAGTCCTGAAACAATAATAATCCATTTATCCATCTTCAACCACTTATCTGGGAGCGGGTTGTGGAGGCAGCAGGCTGAGCAAAGCACTCCAGACATCCCTCTTCCCAGCAACACGTTCCAGCCCCTCCTGGGGAATCCCAAGGCGTTCCCAGGCCAGACGACATATATAATCCTTCCAGTGTCTTCTCAGTCTGCCCCGGGGCCTCCGACTTGTTGGACTTGCTCAAAACACTTCGAACAGGAGGTGTCTGGGAGGATCTCATTCTTTCGGTCACTACCCAGAGCTCATGACCATAGGTGAGGGTTGGGACGTAGATGGACCAGTAAATCGAAAGCTTTGCCTTTTGGCTCAGCTCCCTCTTCACTACAACCGTCCTTGTATTTCAGTGATTGGAAAATGTTATGGCACATCAAAATGAATTAAACTTTCTTTGGGTCCAGTTATTTTAAGAGCAACTGTGGCTCAGGAGCAGGTCGTCCACTATCAGCGGTGTGATCCCCGGCTCCTCTTATCTGCATATCAAAGTATCCTTGGGCGAGATACTGGGGCCGGTGCCCTTAAAGTCCTAGTTTAGGTTTCCTCATAACAAAGTAGGTTACAAAGAAAAATCTTAAGATGTTCACTTAAGTATGAATAGTTTTCTCCTTGTCTTGGTCTTGTACTTGAGGAATCCCTAGACCATTGCACAAAAGACCTTAGCAACCAAACCTTGAGGTACCTCTGACTCTGTCTGAATGACTGAGTTTATGGAGATAAATGAAAAAACGAACACATCCTTAGAAGAGTGTTCAGCGACCAGGAGAACTCGGTGGATACACTTTTGATTTTACACTTTAGATTTGACTGAATTATTTTTTGTTGCTTCTTCCTACAGTCATTTTCTGTTTTCTGGAATTTGGGGATCAAATTTTACTTTGCAGTTTGTGCGTTCTATGATTGTATTCCCCCAGAAGTTTAATCTTTTCCTCCTCTGACTGATAAGGTTTTCCTTTCTTCTCTTTTTCTGCCATTTTGTCACTAACTATAAGCCAACTTTGTGAGACGATAACAGGCATCACAAGCGTGACCCCAAGCAAACAAACCACACACCTCTTAGAAAAAGTCAACAAAACAGACTATATAGCATTGCATTACATCGCACATGGTGTGTATGTTCATAGAGTCACTGCATGTATATCAACGTATAGTCCAGTTTGGACATCAGCACAGTTTGTCCTTCTCTGATAACGATAAAGAAGTCGTCTTTACCGCTAATGAGGTCATTCAAACAGAAATCTTATCGGACAGTTATTAACTCTTTGTCTCTCTGCTGCTGTGGTTTTATAACAAACAGCTCTTGTTGTCTTTATTTACATATTTACATCCGTGTATCCTCATTCCTTCGGTTTACTACATCCATCCACAGCTTCCCCATTTACTGTTGTTTCCGCCCCGGCTCAGCAGTGTGAGGTTTTAGCAAGTCAAAGTGCTGCTGTGGGGTAAACATTGCCCTCTTTGTCACCACACGAACAAAGGCGGTGATGACGTAATGTCAGGAGAAGAAGAAGAAGAGGAGGGGGCCGTGGAGGATGGTGGAGGATCGGCTGGCTTCTAGCTGTGCTCTCAACGCTTCATTCCCCCCCTCCGCATTAACTGCAAGCCACATGACCAGTGTTATTTTACGTCTTGTAAAATCAAACATCACTCTTCACCAACATGCACATTAGCAGCAGACATTAAGGAGCAGGCGGAGAGCTGCAGGGCACAGAGGGTACACTCAGAAATGTAGCATCCACTTATCAGCCCGAGTGGAACGAAAGGCCGTGTGAGAATGTGTGTGTGTGTTGTAGTAACAGCTGTGAGCTCTTTGTGTGGACTGTCTCAGGACGGAGGGAAGCTCATAGCGTCAGTTCTGAGACATAACAACACAGTGGTTTGAGATTACACGGCTTCATGTCCACACTTGAGTTAGATCTTTTTATTATCTGGTTTGAAGACCTGATAGGGATGTAAGCAAAATCTGAGTGATCATTTTCAGAGTTTACACGCAATGTGATGCACAAAAAGATCCCAAAATCATCTGTCCTGGTTCTTGATGTTTAGTGATATCTTAATGTGTTCAAATGAAATCTTGCAGCAGCCTGAGAACTAGGTCATAACTGATTTTGTTTTTGGACATGTCTGCAGCTGCAGGATTTTGGACTGGTGTTTTAAATGCACTCTCAGATGTGTTGGGTACAGTTATTGATCTTAATCCTTTAACCGCCATATTCAGAGCGGTCACAGAGGACAATAATACTTTTCTAAGCTCAACCAGAAAGTGGGGCTGGGTGATATCGACAAAAATATATATCTCAGTATTTTCTATGAAATGGGCTACATGTTCAGCTGCAAGTCAAAGCCACATGTTAGATGTCTCACACACTTTTATAAAAACAGACTGTGATCAAAATAGATGCAAAAAAATAATGATATAAAATAAGTAGCAGGACTGTACCTTAACTTTTTGCACACAGCACTGGAGCTACAGAGGTTTAAAGGTTTGCAGCACAGGACACAAAACCATGAGTATCAAGTAGGCCTTAATCCATTGTAGTCTGACACGATTAAATATCTTTGTGGGGGGGAGTTAAAACTTCATTTTCCATCTGTTGGCCTTTCAAATGAATCTAGTACTGGAAAATGATTTAAATCTTTTTATTTATTTAAGCTATTAATCTTATTTATTCGCAGAGCATCAACAGAGAGGCCGAGGGAGAGAAGGACCGAGACGCTTTGTCAACATTATATACGTCTTGTATATTAAACGACTGTGTGGTGCTGTCTCAGTGTCACACAATAGACTACAACTAACAAGACCAACAGCGATGTGTTACGAGCCACCTCACACACAAACTAGCAAACAAACACTCACCTGACACAATCACGTGGCTCAGTCTCCCACACATGTGCTGCTGTGGTCATTTTATTTATCTTACACACCGATTTAGCGTAGCACGTGCAGCACTTAGACCAGCGTCGTATCGTAGACTAATTAACAAACAAATTTCAGAAGAATGGTGTTATGTAACACAACTTGAAAAGAGGGTGGATCATGGGGAGTACCACCAGTTGGTCCAGGAGCTTCCCCTTGAAGATGGCTGTTTCAAGTACTGCACTTATCTGCTTCCACACCTGCTGTTATCTATGGTATATGAAGTATCCAGCAGCCGCTACCACCAGATCTGTGTGATCGGGGCCTAAAGCTACTTGAAGCAATGCATTGTGATTCGATGCAACATGATGCGTACTGCCAAAAAACTGTTGCCCAACTCTCCAGGTCCACACAGCTTGTATGCCTTTTTTTAGTCCATAGATTTTGTTTTCAGTTGTTTAAGTCAAATTTTATCCACGTCCCTGCTTTTCTCATCCTCCCTGTTGGCGTCTGTGTCGTAGGTACCGGTAGCGGCTCCCTCTCCCACGCCATCCTGCGCACCATCGCCCCCACAGGCCACCTGCACACTGTGGAGTTCCACCAGCAGCGTGCGGAGAAGGCGGCGGAGGAGTTCAAGGAGCACCGCGTGGATCACCTGGTCACCGTCAGGAACCAGGACGTGTGCAAGGAAGGCTTCGGAGTGACGGGGGTGGCGGACGCCGTCTTCCTGGACATCCCCAGCCCCTGGGAGGCAGTGCGCCACGCCAAGGCTGCCATGAAGAAACAAGGTAAGACTTCACTGCATCAGTTTTTATATTATTACTAATGGAGTCTTTCAAGCTCACACTGATAGCCTGCTTTTCCTGAGTGTGTGTTGAATGAATGATTAATAAATAATAAGGGCTTTGTACAGAGGCAGGACCTGTTATGTATTTATTGTTTTCATGTTGGAGTTTCCAGTTTAAAATACAGTTTGTAACAGATGTGTACAGATCATCTCATGTCTGACATGACTATTTTAGCTGTAAGCTGCCTTATTAGGGCCAAAATGTGTCTTATGTAACAACCGATTATATTAAATTACAGGGGAAATGAATGGCTGGAGGTCACTAAAGTGTCCTGTGGAGTTAACACTGTTAAAATAAATGTATATGGCGTGGCCTCAGAGGAACACTAACCATCACCTGATGCTGAATTCTCTGTGACTCGCTCTGACACAGCAGGAACATGACTGTGACTGAGCACATTTTAAAAATATCAGCCAGTGAATTTATTCCCCCCTCCGGCAGCATCACCTCGCTCCGCACTCCCACAACGACCATCGATCCGAGTCGACACAGCTCTCATTAACTTAGCCCTTGTGTGTGTGTGTGTGTGTGTTTGTTCCTGGTCACAGAATAAACTGGTGTAGGCGTTTCTGTGACGACCGGGAGCGGCAGCATGTCTGGGCAGGTTGGAGGTTCACTGAGGGGGTTAGAAGTGAAGTCATGGTTTATATGATATAGGTAGATCACATGGCTACTTGTCCTTTACAGTTGGTTTATCCATACAGTTGGTGGTTGAAAAGACAACAAACCTCTCCCAATTTCTACCTGGATATTGTCCGTGACAGAGCATCGTCAGGTTGGTAAAGTTGGTGTTGGTTTGGAGCGCAGGACCGTGCATACCTGTGACACAGCAGGTATAAATTAATTCAGTAATGCAGGCATTTTGAGAAAGACGCTCTGCCATCAGATGGTCTTATCACAGAATACAACTTCTTGTCTTGTACGTCTCAACAACATCTGCTGGTCTAACCGTGGGTCTTGAGCAAAGGATCCTAACAAGATCATCTTCCTACACAAATTTGCCTTTAACATCTTAAGAGGTTCCACTTTTCTGCACAGCATTACATACTTTTATTAACTGTCGACACATTTGTCTTTCACAAGACACTGCTCAGCAGTTTGCTCACGAATGCCTCAGTGTTCTTATGCATCTTCTCGAGTAATTGAGAAATGTTCATGTCAGCCCATATATTCAGAAGGCATCTCGCTTCTTTGATAGTTTAGGTTTGTCCCCTTCCACTCTCCTTTTGGTAGCAAATGGGCAAAACTCGCTACTAGTTCACTTGTCACCATACCAAGAAAAGAAAATGTTTTTAACCAGTGAAATGACACCATAATGTCATGGTTTGAATGGTCACAGTTTACATTCGAATACCACCTCTTTCACACGAACCCAAACAAACCGCACCAAGGGGGTAAATGCTTTGGTTCAACTAGACCAAACAAGGCAGATGTAAACATGCCCAAAGCTTAAAAGTCCGGCCATACGGGTGAAACAAAATCGGAGCGTCAGGCGGTTTGAATGAAGCACGCTCTGGACATACAGCTGAGCGGTTTCCCCAGCCAAAATACCTGAATACACCTGTGTGGGTGGACAGGGCCTTAAAATAAACCTTAGAATGAACAGGATGGAAAGTGCAAAATATTGTCTCAAGAATGTGCATTTATGTACAGTATGAAGGTTATGTGCAAAAATCCTGACATTAGATTTGCAAAACTGTGTCACTGTAACACATGTTTTATTTTTCCTTTTCTTTCTTTACCTTATTTGTCAAAGGGATACTTTGCTGATATTCAACCAGCTTTGTGTCATAACAATGAAGATAGAACCGTCCAGAAATATGGACGATTAAAAAGAAGCAATGTAAGAAGATGCAAAAAAAAAAAAAAGGACTAAATTCAGCGCACAAATTAAAAGAGCTCATGGGACCACTGTTATTGATAATTGATTGATAGTACAGGGTTTAACACACATTCATGTATTTGTGGCGGCCTGTCATGATAACATCTTCCACCACGTATTGATTTTCTATTTTTGGAGCTGGGCCGTTCATTAGGAGCACTGTTGGAATATGAATACGGTCCGGTTATTCAGAGCACCAGACTTTCAGAGTGCAGAGCGTACTCTGGGCACAGACGGAGCAGCAGAACGTCAGGCACAGTAAAAAAGAGACGTAACTGTTCAATGCTGGATCTGAACGTTTTTGTACCAGCCTCTGCAATAGCTGCTGTTCTCTTCCATCAATATAACCTGATCAGCTCCAATCGGCTCAACTGATCAATTAACTCAAAACTCCACAAAATGCTGCTGAGGCAAAAAGAAGTAATGAGGAATTCAGCCTGTGCTGCGTTCACAGACCTGCAAAAATCTCATACTGTAGAGAGGAGACACTGAATGATACAAAGGGACACAAACACACAAGGCAAAAATGGAAAGTTTTAGCCTACTCTTAAACTGTAACAAGATGATTTGTTACTGGCCAGCTGCCATATTGTTTTTCAACTCGCATCACATCACCCACCAGTGGGAGCGTTTCTTGGTCTGGCTGCAGCGCAGTGAGCTCTGGTAGTTGTACGTTTTCCACCTCTTGAGCCAAAGCAAAAGCCACAGCCCTTTTCCTCTGTTTTCTCTGGTCATATAGCAAGAATTTCAAAAGTATTTGTGTCTTTCCACTGTGCAGACAGCCCAGCTTTATGAAAAGACTGTCCTCTCAGCAATGAAATACTTCTTTAAGGATGCACCAATCCAACTTTTCTGTCCTGATACAAAGTACTGATCCAATACCAAAGTTTCACATATTAAAAATCTATACCTCACTGTATTATATGAAATTATTTTCATGAGTTAACATTAAGGGAGGGATTGCTGTTGCTCTAAAAACTTGTGCTGTCGAGCTACTGTGTTTTATTGATTGTGGAAACTCTGAATTAAAACACACTGAACTGTATCTAATGTGGAGCTGCTGCATCTGGTATTAAAAAGCAATATCACACGCTGCCAACAAATCTTTTTACTCAAATTAATGTATCCAGTGATGCCACAGCATTGGATGGATGACATCCTGTTCAGATGCACAGGATCAGTGTGTTATGAGTACATGCTCATCTTCCTGAGACACTTCGATACAGGACGATTTAAAAAACTAAGCCCCAATATGAAGAGGAATGCTGCTCTGCCTCCTCCTCTCTGAATCCCTTTTATGGTGCCACTGCTACATATTCCTTTCACGAACTGTTGACCCTCACGTACACACACACACATACACACACACAGATACAGATAAATAGAGTGCAGCCATTGTAGAAGCAGTCCCATGACCATACAGGGTTATGCTGCAGGGAGAGGGAGCCGGTGAATGTGGCTCCATAAGGAGAGGCTTGATTTACTTCCCACTGCTCAGACTGGATGTTTTCTCCAGAGAGCCGGGGGCAGCTGAACGCCACTGCCCCCCGAAAAACGCTTCAACCTAAAGGCCAAACAAAGTGACCTCCTGGAGAGCTCTTCGCTGGTTGTTTTAGCGGTTGAGTTGTGGAAATGACAGGAGGCAAGACGCAACACCTGAAGCCCACTTTCATCACCTTGTCTTTCATTTTTCTGCACAGACTGACTCCAGGTCTGTTCTCAGGCTGAGCGCTGTTTTACTGCAGTGGACAGAATGTAAGAGTTGTAATTCCTCTAATGTTTTGGCCTGCAGCCCGGCCTGGTCTCTGAGAAGGACCCTGGATCCATCTAACCCTCCCTCCCTCCCCGCTCCATCTCAGACTCTCATTATGCAACATAAAGCAAACACGTCCCACAAACTCAAACACTCAACAACCCGATAAGGAATCGTACGTTTCACGCATGTATGGATGCTCGTCGTGGACGCACGGTTGATATTCAAGGCTATTAATAACCCGCCTGAGACGCCCTTGTATAATCATCAACCCGACCCCTCCCTGTGTGTTCGCTCTGGTTGCTAGGAGACCATTGAGTTGTGTTTATGGTCGTCTCAAAGGGAGAACACTGGTCCTGTCAGCTGAAGGAACGACTGCTATCTGAAACATCCCAAAGTTTAATGTTTATCAGACGCGGTGGATTCTTCAACAAGGCTGCCCTCTGCAGACTCGTTCTTTATTTCAGTCAGAAACTCAGCAGTTTGACTTTATTACATGTTGATGACTTCAGAATAGTTTGAATCACAGACATGTTGTCTCCCATCAGGCACCAGTTTGTCTCACAGCAGACTGCAGATTATTCCCCTCCTGAATTGTGAAGTAAGATAATCTGAGCAGGTTGAAGCAAAGCTGTGACCCTCTGATGCTCGATCATCAGTTTCGTCACGATACTTTATCATATTTTTTTGGACAACAATATGATATTTGCAGATATTACAAAGTCTGCCACGATATAATTTTGACTGGATGCGATTTAGGGGCCAGCGAGCGATTTGAGACGATATTGGTATCACGGATAATGGGTCCTTTACATCCATGATCGTTCTTAAAGATCCCGAAGGTCCTTGTGATCCTTCACTTTGATTCCTGGAAATCAAGGATATTTTTAAGGAGGTAGAAATCCTCCACTCATCCATGAGCTATAGTCCATCCTGGATGTCTTAATACTGAGGGGGATAAAACAAAATCAGTGCGTAGTACCTCTTAAAATCTCAAACTGCAAAATCCACACTGGACAAGACAACGTTATTTCTCAGCACTTAAGATTTCGAGTAGAAAACCTTTAGAAACCCATTTGTTTCATTAACCCCTCCTCTCCCCAGCTGTCCTGCTCAGAGTCACATTCTTCACTCTTCAGGTCAGCCGGTGAAAGTTCCCTTGGCTTGCTGCTCCAACCTCCCGCCGCGAATCACCGCAGGGTTTCGTTCAGAGCCGAGAGGCCGAAACCGAGAGCTGATCTGTGTTTATTAGAGCGCCGCTTCATCCCCTGATGATCCACAAACTACAGCTTGGAGCCCTGCAGGTCACAGGCCTGCTTTGTTAAGGGAAACAATACGCTTTGAAAACTGCTTTTAGCTCAAGAAAAACAAATAATTATTAATAGTAGTAGTAGTATCACAGGTTCCCTGGAGAAGACTGAATGTCTCCTGAGTCCATATTTAAATCTGGTTTAGATTATTTATCTCTGTCCATGACTGTTTTTTTAAACATTATTCTTACAGTGATAACACTCCTCTATGAGACATCTGATACTTTGAGGAAGGTTTGATTTTCCCAGAAGTGCCAGAAAAGACAATTGAAGGATGGTGAACTGTCATGTTTTTGAGTATCTCCATTCATATACCTTCTCACAAACGAGTGGACGAGGTCATGAGCACAGATCCTGAGTTAAGTGGATCTGCAGTGATCTCGTCATGATGTTTAAGACCATCAGTTAGTGTTAATTAAAACTGTTAGCTGCTGTGAGGTCCTCACTGTGGTTCAGATCATCCAGGTGTTTGTGGTGGAGACCAAGTTATCGATTCTGTTTTACAGTCTTACAGCAGAAGATTTGAGGGTAAATATTGCAGGTTAGCATCTTTGTTTTTTCTTGATAAACAGCTTGCACACTGCAGGGCTCCAGTGTCTGAGGTGTAAAAACTAAGTGGACATTGAAGCCCTGCAGTGTGCAAGCTGTTTATTTGTTTATTTCATGATCTGTTCACTTTCAGTTCCAGCACATGCCCTCTTTGGGTTTGGATGTGCGCGCATACTCCTACTAGCATCTTCTTGTTGTCATGTTCACCTTCAGTTGTGCACTTTTTTTTGATATAACAAAGCAATCATCTCCTTGGTTTCTGTCAGTTTTCCAGACTTCTCATATAACCCAGTATAACTTACATACTATATGAAACTAGCTTGTTTGATTCCACACCAGAGGATACCTGCCGGAAATATCAACCATGTTTGATAAGGACGTCCCAGATGTGGTCAGAAACATGGGAGGTAAATCAAATTGGGGTCAAGCAAACCGTCTCAGTGTAGGGGTTTGCATAATCACTTGTACAATTGTCTCGGGGACCTGTTGGTTTGCTAACTTGTGAGCTAATGGGAAGTGTTCTACCCGCAGCAGCTTATTTTGTCCTTGTGATCGAGATATGAGTCATGATTTTAGTGGGAATGGTAACTTTTGCATTTCAACTGAGAGAAAAAAAATATACAAAAATCTCTGTAGCACCGCAATGCTTTAATTAATTTCAGTTCAATTCAGCTTGATTGTCATTTGCCGTATGTTTGTTGTACAGGGCAGAACGACGCCCTGATCACACAGAAAGCGTTCGAGCAGCTGGAGGGGCCTTTTTTGTTTTTAATGAGAATGAAGCTTTTTGATGGTGGTTTTTGTGTTGCAAAGTGCTCTGATCTTTTCAAGTTGGAAAAAAAACTCAACTCAGAACGCAGAAGCACCCCATGTCTTTTTTTTTCCCCCGTTGTCCAATCAATTAAGGCAACAGAGGCAGGCCTTCTGTGGTGGTCACGACAACAAGTCGTATATCAGATGTATCATCTGAGAACTATGAATGTCCCAGTCCATCCAGTAGGTCCACTCAGGAGGTATTTCACTAGATAAATCAAACTCTGACCTGTTGGTGTCGCTAAAGGAAAAGTCAGAGTCACCAAAGTCTGCATGATATAACCTCTGGGATCATGAATATCTGTACAGAATTTTAAGACAATCCATCCAACAGTTGTTGACGTATTTCAGTCAGGACTGAAGTGGAGGACAAACTGACACAGTCTCCCCTAGAGTCACCAGTGTGGGTTAAAACGAGCCCGACTGGTCCAAAAGAAGAAGACGACATATTTGTTGCTAACTTGTCTTTATTGTTTTGGCAGGAACAAGATGTCAACTGTTCATCAACATTTGTCCTCTGTCTTTCTTTTCTCCAGGAGGTCGAGTGTGTTCGTTCTCTCCATGTATCGAGCAGGTCCAGAGGACTTGCGAGGCGTTGGCGGATCAGGGTTTCGAGGAGATCAGCACCTTGGAGGTCCTGCTCAGAGTCCACGACGTGCGAACCGTCTCCCTGCCGCTGCCCTACTTCGGCCCCGACCCCTCTGCTGAGACGCAGCCTGACAGCACAGACAAGACGCCTCCGGGCCAGGCCTCCGTCTCCTTGAAGACCACCACCCCGCCCAGAGAAATACCAGGTCACACAGGGTACCTGACCTTCGCCACCAAACCAAGAACCTAAAGTGATTTTCCTTTATTTCACCACCAGTAAACAGGACGTGGTTTATAATCCAAGCCTCGCTCCAGTGTATTTTCCGTGTACATTAATAAGACTGATAATCCTGCAGTGGCACCAGGCTCCTCCAGGTCCCGACTGGCACCGCAGCACCGAGAGGATTTACTCTTTGGTGTTACATAATTTTGTCCTCCTGTCACTTGGCACCGGTTTGTTGCTTGCATCAAGCAAGGGTGAGATCAAGTCGACAGTGATTTCATTTAAGGAGAATGTAAAAGCGTTATGTCTCCCCTCTTTATGAAAAATCACTTTTAATCAATGCCTTTATTTGTTAGGGAAATAATTAGTTTTATTTTTATTGATTTTTGCACTTTTGTATTATTCAAGTAAATACAATAAATGTGTGAAAAGATCCTTGTTTGTTTCTTTGTTCTGTTGCACCACGGGCAGAAAAAAAACAGGTCAAAGCTTTAATCCCTTCAGCAGCTGATGTGACCTGTTAAAGTGCCCCTCAGCAAGACATTGATCACCTAGCAGATCAATTAACGATATCACAAAACACTTTTTAATCAGGTTGTGTTGATTAGCTTTTATTTTTCTCTGTATATGTACAAATTCAAACTTGAGTCTTACGAGCCTTTTCTGGAGCTTTCAGCTGCATCACAGTCATCATAGGCGGAGACTTGGTCACCATGGAGATCCGATCCACACTCAAGGTCCACTTGCTGGCTTTTTTGTAAGCTTTCAGGGCCAGGACACATGCCACTTCTGTAACTGCCGTGGAAATTGCGAGGTCAGATGCAGGGTGCTAACCTGTGCCTACGTTCGAGAGCTCAGAGCTGATCTTCTAGGTCTGGTTTCTTCAGTGTGTGTTGGGCCTAAAATATTGCCCATGGGACAGGTGTAAAGCTCTGGGGAACCCTGCACTAAAAGGATCAACATCTCCATATTTACCGCAGACTGATATTTATGGAAGAAGGGAAAGATATCTGAAGGTTGTGATTGGTCGTTTCTTTCACATCATACGCTGCAAGTTATGCTTATCTCAGGGTGCAGCCATCACACCCTGAAAATAGGCACTCAGGAATGCTCGGGCATTGTGACGGCGTTGCTGTCGCCTTTGAGCGTTCCATGCGTCAATATTGAGAAAACACAGCATGTGTACGAGCCCTGAGCAAACAGATGAGAGGTCCTAAAAGTGTTGAGGATGAAATCACACTGCAAAGTCTTTGGGCTGCTGTGAAACTGCACCTACTCAGGGCAAAAAAAGTTTGTCTTGGGTGCATTGGTACAATAAACAAACAAAAAAGGATGACAGTGGAGATATCCGCACACCAATGTAACTGGGCTGGAAAGCCACAGAAAGGTCCACAGGCGGAGATCAATGCAAAAAATTTCTATTTAATTTAAGACATCTGTGCACAAGAAAGGTGCTCAGAGTGCAAAAAAAAAATGATAACCACTTTATCATTTTTTTTAAACTTTGAGCACCTTTGCTAGTACCAGGTTGGATCTCCTTTTTAATTCTTGGTGTCATAGATTCAACAAGGTGCTGGAAACATTCCTCAGAGATGTTGGTCCATATTGACATGATGACATCACACAGTTGCTGCAGATTTGTCGGCTGCACATCCATGATGAGAATCTCCCGTTCCAGCACATCCCAAAGGTGCTCTATTGGACTGAGATCTGGTGACTGTGGAGGCCATTGGAGTACAGTGAACTCATTGTCATGTTTGAGATGATGTGAGCTTTGTGACATGGTGTGTTATCCTGCTGAAAGTAGCCATCAGAAGATGGGTACACTGTGGTCATAAAGGGATGGACACGCTCAGCAACAATACTGTAGCCTCAGTTTCCTGTTGTTAGCTGACAGGAGTGGCACCTGGTGTGGTCTTCTGCTGCTGTAGCCCATCTGCTTCAAGGTTGGACAAGGTGTTGTTGCTTCAGAGATGCTCTTCTGCACACCTTGGTTGGAACCAGTGGTTATTTGAGTTCCTGTTGCCTTTCTATCATCTTGAACCAGTCTGGCCATTCTCCTCTGACCTCTGGCATCAACAAGACTGGATATTTTCTCTTTTTGGGACCATCCTCTGTAAACCCTAGAGATGGTTGTGTGTGAAAATCCAAGTAAATAGACCAGCCCATCTGGCACCAACAACCATGCCACGTTCAAAGTCACTTAAATCACCTTTCTTCCTCATTCCGATGCTCAGTTTGAACTTCAGCAGCTCGTCTTCAACATGTCTACATGACTTTTATTAAAACATCTTATTTCTGATTTTTTATTTATTTTTTTTTTTTGCACTCTGACATGTTTGATGTTCCCGTTGACTTGCGAGCGTCTCCTCTCTCTGAAGCTCAGCACCAAAAAAGGCAGAGAAAACATCTGCAGTTAAACACAGAGGAGCTTCCAGATTTCCACACCGTCACCACCACATCTCATATCCCACAGACTAATTGCACCGTCCTGATGTGAGCTTTCCCATTCCCTCTCTCTGAGAGAAAGAGATCCGGTGCACAGAGAAAGCACCGGAAAATCATTACAGCTGTATTTAGTTTTTGTACTCTGGGTGTTCTCATTTATCTTTGAGGAAAAGTTTCTTACCAAAGCTTCACTGTGCGACAGCTCAGTGTTTAAAACTGGAGGAATCAGACGCTCATTTAGTGATACATTTGAGCTGATCTTTAGATCTGTTTTTTATTCCAACCTGACTGCTGCTGCTGTTATTAGTCAAAACCTCCTGCTGCATTCAGAGGCGCCGGGACTTTTCAGGTCTGTTGTACAGTATAATCCCTGGGGCTTACTGTGAGTTATAAAAAGCTCTGTGGTTGTTTTAGTCTGCTGTTTTGGACAGGTTGATGCATCTTAAAACCCACCTTTCAGTCTGTGATCTATTAAGTCCCCCACCACCTATTTCTTTATCACTGTCAAAGTTTTTACACTGTTATTGCTTCTACAAATGTATAAAATACACAACTATACACAAAAAATAATATTAAGAAAATAATAATAATAATAAAATATCGAGGATGTTGTGATTAGTAAAACATACTCGTACTCCTATCGTTGTGATTTGGGAGTCAGGCCTCTGCTCCTCAGACTTGATCTCATCTAAGTAGTGGCACTAGCTGACTGATTGATCACACCTGATAATCTGTCTGTGTCTACATCTTTTCTGTGAAGCACTCATGTCAGCAGCACTGATGATCGTCAAGGACTGAAACATTTGCAGCTGTTTTTAATTTTGTTTTCAGTGCATATCTCTTAGCATCAAAATGCTATCTTCTCAACCCCCTCCAAGGTTTACCTTCGTGACCTGACGTAGGTTTTAATGATGTGTTACTTGAAGTTGTTTTGGCTCACAGATCTTAAATGAAGCCCCGGCTGGTAAACAGTGAAAACAGTGAGCGTGGCTGAATCGCAGAGACGAGTGATTTGGTGTCTTTAAGTTCTCTGGTTTGTGTTCGCAGGTATCAGCAGGAGTGTGAGTGTAGGTGGAGGAAGTGAGTAACGCTCCCTGTTGAGGAGGTGGGTGTTACTGTGATTAAACCCTCACATTTATCTTCTGGCTGTGTTTAGAGAGAGAAAATGTTAACCGTGAATCTTACAGATGATTCAGTTTGTGAAAGTCAGTTTACAACAAACCTGCTGGTGTAGAGCTGCATCCACTGCTTCATGGTGTTTTTATTACTATTTTTTACTCTCTCTTTCCGTCCTTTGCCTCATCACATATTCAGTGCTTCTCACAGTCAAGGATGCTTCCTTGGTAGGATGGGTCCTTCCAAGTGAGCTCCTACAGAGGCTGGGAAAGACTCCTTCCTAGCATTGGGTGAACACACATTGAAACAGGCTAGTGAGTGTCCAGGTGTGCGTCATTCAAGAGGCCCCACCTTTAATTTGGAACCCACATTTTGAAAATGTAATAAAACTCTGCTAATGCATTTCAAAAACGTCAGAACGGCTCGTCCGTCGTAATCCAAGTGCCCTGGAGCCGCGGCATGCAAAATTGACTTGGAAAGTCGCGAGACTCGAGAACTAACATCACCACTAGCCATCAGCTAGTCTCAAGCGAGTTGCCATGTAAACACAGCACGGCTGCAGGAACTGACCACGGTGAGAAATTATGCTATAAAAGTGGAGTAAATTACGTCTTTTTAAGTCAGTTTCGCATGCCGCGGCTTCAGGGAACTTGGATTATGACGGACTAGCTGTTCTGACGTTTTTGAAATGCATTAGCGGAGTTTATTACATTTTCAAAACGTGGGTTCCGTGCACTTCAAGTGTAGCTGTTATTCCGGCTAGCTTAGGGTGACCATATTTAGATTTCCAAAAAAGAGGACACTCGCCCCGGCCACGAGATAGCCTACTTAAATGATACTCGCAGTTTACTCAAAGATGCCTTATAATTTTAATATATTTAAAGTTTATATGTATGGATAGAAAATTCAGTTATATTACAAAATAATATCTCTCAAAGACAGAAATTTAGATAGGCTTCTCAGAGGTTACTCAACTTGCTTTTATTTTGCCTAAAATAATAATCTTTTTACAAGTTTCAATTGTACAAAAATAAATATAAATGTAAAATAAATGTAAAATCTCTGAAATGAAATAATGATAGAAATAATGTCTCTTCTGTATTAGAAAAATCAGCTTGTAAAATAATAGCTATCTTTTCAAGTCTTACTGGACAAATAAATAAATAATATGAAATAATGTTCTAAATAATACCTCTTCTGTATTAGAAAATCCAACTTTGAGCTCCCTGGCACCTTTATTAGACACAGAATCATATGTGCCAGCTTTGCACACGGTGCACTCGGCCTCCCATATATCCCGACCAGGTGAGGACGGTAAGTTGGGAATTTTTTCTGCAGTTCATCTGTGAAGCTGCACCTGCGCTTCGGCATCTTGGAAGCTCAGAATAATGCTGCGCCGCGGGTGTCTGCTGCTTCCTCGTTGTCAGTGTTGGAGATCCGCCGATAAGGCAGCCTCTCGGGGATTACACACACACACACACACACACACACACACAAGGAAAACCAGACATTATCATCAATTTATAAACACCCCCCGGACGCCCCGGACAGGACGTGAAAAGTGGACATGTCCAGACAAAAGAGGACGTTTGGTCAGCCTAGGCTAGCTGTTATCCTCTGATACCCCGAACGAGTTTTGTGGATTAAAAAAGTACACTGGACTTCTTGTCAGCATGAGGGTCACTAAGTACGGTCTGTATTTTCATTCTAAAGTGGCCATTTCCTTTAATGCCAGCTGAGGATAGGCACACATCCTAGAAAATTCTCTGAAGGAAGGACTCGGTATCCTTAACATTGTCCTTCATCAGGGTTCAGTGACGTAGCCTCCTG